GGGTGTTCCCTGTCTTATGTCCCTTTTCTTTCCTGCTGCTATCTGTCCTTCCAGCTGGAAATAGATTGATTCTGTTAAATGCTATAACTCCTTATTAAATAACACAACTTTGGTTTAAACTTGTATTTGTTCTTTTCTTACCAGAAGGTGATTAAGTGTGGGATTCCCAGCAGAACATCGCTGCTCTGAAACCTTATCACTGTCTATATTTCCCTCAGAGAGGAGTTGAGGCGTGATGGGCAACCAGCTGGCGGGCATCGCCCCCTCGCAGATCCTCTCTGTGGACAGCTACTTCTCCGACATCCACGACCACGAGTACGACAAGAGCCTGGGCAGCACCCGCTTCTTCAAGGTGGCGCGGGCCAAACACCGCGAGGGCCTGGTGGTGGTCAAAGTGTTCGCCATCCAGGACCCCTCGCTGCCCCTCACCAGCTACAAGCAGGAGCTGGAGGAGCTGAAGATCCGGCTGCACTCCTGCCAGAACTGCCTGCCCTTCCAGAAGACCTCGCTGACGGAGAAGGCCGCCATCTTGTTCCGTCAGTACGTCCGCGACAACCTGTACGACCGCATCAGCACGCGGCCCTTCCTCAACAACGTGGAGAAGCGCTGGCTCGCCTTCCAGATCCTCAACGCCGTCGACCAGGCGCACAAAGCCGGCGTGCGCCACGGAGACATCAAGACGGAGAACGTGATGGTGACCAGCTGGAACTGGGTGCTGCTCACAGACTTCGCCAGCTTCAAGCCCACCTTCCTGCCCGAGGACAACCCCGCAGACTTCAACTACTTCTTCGACACGTCGCGGCGCAGGACGTGCTACATCGCCCCGGAGAGGTTCGTGGACGGGAGCATGTTCACCACGGAGAGCGACCACAACACGCCGCTGGTGGATCTGAGCAGCAACAACCAGAGGGGCCGGGGGGAGCTGAGGCAGGCCATGGACATCTTCTCTGCAGGTGCTTCAGAGCATGAGAGCCTCCATCAGGTTCAAACACACACTAGGGATGGGAATTTAAGAGCACATTTATATTCCAATATTCCACCCCGAAAAAAAGCTCAAGGCTTTTATTAGTCATACGTACAAAGCTACTGTTATGACGATGAAAATCTGAGGCCACAGGCTCCTCCCACAGAGCAACACAATAACACAGATACAATAGTGCAAGAAAATACAAGTGAAATAGTGAAATAGTGCAATAAGAGTCTACAAGTGGTTGGAATATGATTTATTAGATAAATAATGTGTAAGTTGCAAACAGATGAATGTTATGGATGTTCTTTCAACAGTCCAGGTGTTCAACGGTCTTATGGCCTGTGGGATGAACCTGGGTCTGGGTCTGGTGACTGTTAACCCATTCACAGATTTACATATCCCATTTTTTATTTTTTTTTATTTTGATATACTTTATTAATCCCCGTGGGGAAATTGTTTCTCTGCATTTGACCCATCCTCGTGTTAGGAGCAGGGGGCTGCCATTTTGAACGGCGCCCGGGGAGCAGTGTAGGGAACGGTGCCTTGCTCAGGGACACCTCGGTAGCACTTGGTCTTGCCGGGACTTGAACTGGTGACCTTCCAGTTGCCAAGCCAAGTCCCTATCGACTTTGCTACCACATTTCTTTGTTTTTTAAATGAATACAAAAAGAAAGTTGTAATAATAAATGGTATGTGGTTAAGCATTGAGCTGGATGACCTTTGCATAGTTTGCACTCGACACCGCTCTCCCTAACCTGGGAGAAACATGTCCACCTATTACTCCGTTTTGACGCCATGTTTGTTGTGTAGGATTCTCCGTTAGAGTGAAACGTTACACGTGTTTTTAACATATTTAAAATGGCACTGTCGTACACATTGAATCAAACCATTTGGTAATATGTAATCAACTCGTCTGCTAATTGATCTGCAGAATGTTGATGTCACATTTCATGCAAAGAAAAGGCTAAAAGTTGAGTTTTCAGTCTCTCAAAATACCAATATGGATATCTCTGGGTTTCTAGATGGACAAAACAAGACAATGTCGTAGCAACTTCAAATCAGCTGCGGTCTAGAGTAAAAGATGAGTTAGGCAAATATGCAAAGAAACACAATATCTATATAAAGTATTTTGAGATCTTCGTTTCAATCCTTGCAAGCATGAGACCTCGAGGACAGAGAGTCTTCTGTTCTGTTACAGCCACTCTGAAAGGGACATATTCAAACATAACCCACATGACAGCACATCATGTGAGGCCAGGTGTTCGCCCTATGGCACAGCACTGTATGCTTAAACTCAGACCCCTCAAAGAACAATGGGATACACAAATAAGCCCTAATTGTAAATTCCTTCCACCCATCCTCTCTTCCTGTAGTGTCATCAAAGACCTCTGTTTATCACTCCCAGGATTCGACCTAATCAGAGAAACAGTTTACAGTTAGCAACGTTAATACATTTGATCGCACAATTTCCTTAACACCATTTCCCAGGATACAGCCGTTACAGTTCATTAGGATTACACTGTGTTAAGCTTTAATACCATCATTTCCATAACATTAGTTAAAGAAATCCATTTGGATTTGAAGAAATGTGGACATCTGTCAAATGATTTTCTCATTTTTAAGACCACAATTAATAGAAAGAAATAATTGGCACATTCATCAATAATGAAAACGATCGTTTGGCTCAGCCCTAATGCAAAAGCATTTTATTACATAGGAATTCTACGTTTATATACATTTTTTTGTCCTAAAATGTTCAAACGCTCATGATTTTAAATGTTATTATTATTGTTTATTTTATGCATTTATTAAGTTTAAAAGGCCTGAAACGATGTCATTGTATCAGCTGTTCAATTCAATTCAATTCAAAACCTTTATTTATTCAGGTGAAAACCCATTGAGATCATTGTTGAGTCTGATCTCTGATGTTTCTGAGCTCACGATCTTACAGGAACACTGATAACGTCTCTTTATTTAGTGAAATGAGGGCAGACATGCAGGCAGTGCTCACCGTAGATGATGGGAGGCACAGAGAGCACGATACCGGTGCTTTCGTAGACGACGAGGCACCCCTCCCATAACAAAGAATTATAATAATAATATTCGAATACCTGAATCATTTTGAATATTCGATTAATCGTTCCCATCCCTAATACACACCACAGCTCAGACCCTGATCAGCACTGATCTGAGGTTCAGGTTATTACCAGTTTCACTGCACAGAAGTTAGTTTGAAGCCGAGGAGCCGCCTCAATCATTTCCTTATCATGCACATTAAACAGTGTCTAACTTGTGCACTAAAAACTGATTCAAATCTCATTTTAGATCAATAAATAACATAAAATAATTAAGTTGTGAAATTATTGTATTCAATGTTTCACGTACAAAATGATATAATTGCATTTTTATAAGCATTTGATCAATAATTACAAAAAAATATGAAGCTCATCGTGACTGAATTTGAAGTGATTTCATTTTAAATACATTCATTTGATCATGGATTTATTATTCTTGTCAATTAATCTGTTTTCCACAAAATACTGTGTTGTCATTCCCCTTAAAAAC